TGGAGTAAAGCGATACAGGGCAAAACACTACACAAAACAGAAAATGCAATGCAGCAATTGTAAATGGTCAAGAATGGTAATCAGGATAACCTCCTTTTAAGAAAAGTTGCCAGCAGCTACTGCAGCAACAAAATTACTCTTAAAAAAGAAAGAATAACATGACAAGGCTTGTTTTACATAACGGGCTCAGCAAACGGGGACTCATAAAGTAAATGATTCTGGCACCTCAGGCTTTTTTTAATGCAACTGCCTCTGGAGCAGAGACTATTTCTGTCTTGATGTACTTTTTTTTTTTGGACATGCAGATCTGAGCACCTCGTGTGATCTGAGTGGGGCCAAACACGTGGAGCCAAGGGACTGTCTTGTGGACCCCTCTGGAGGCCTTCAGGAAGCATCCGCTCAGTGGTGGCATGGGTGCCCTGCCTCACCTGAGTGCAGGACACCTGTGAGGATCCGGATTATGGTGCTGGGACCCGTGGTCCTGCCAGCAAGCCCTTCCTTAGCAATTCTTGCTAAGGTTATAGCAGTTTTTGCTTTCTCGGCCCTTGAAGAACCTCCCATCAGTTGATTTCTCCAGTCAGTCCCTTCCTTTGTGAGCAAACAGATGCCCTGATCATGCAGCCCAGGAAGGGACATTGGAGATAGTAACAAAAATAGCCTGAACTCTGAACTCTCACCCCATCTTAGGCACTTTCCCAAGTGCATTGCTTGTCTAAAGTCACTTGATCCTCAGAATGCTCTGAGATATTGTCTTGTATGTAGATGTTGCAACATTGCCCAAATCTAGGTCTTTCTAAGGTCTCCCAAAAAGACAAGACCCAAACATTACTGTGCTTTCTGATTACCACTCTCTCCACTACCAATGAATGAAGCCCCTCAGAGAGTAGCTTATGCCCTTGGAGGCTTTTAGCCCATATGTGTGCATGTCTGTTTATATACACATAAATATTAATGCATGGCAACTGCAACAGATGGAAACCATAGGCCAAATGCTTCTCGACATCTGCAACATTTAAAAAAAAGCTCACAAAAAAACAGCAGCAAAGCCCCTTAAAATTTACTTGGGAACCTACTTACAACCCATAGGAATTATTTTATCTTTTCCATTGCTTTTAGGCAACTGTGCCATGCACTAGAGAGTTAAGCTTGAGGCTTCTGGATTCTATTCTTTGCCTTCTTGAAATATTTATTTTATTAGGCACAGATAATGCTTCCTGTATACTATGTATTCTTCTACCTTTAGTAACTTTATTAAATACCTTAATCCTCATAATAGTCCTAGGAGTAGGCTGCAGAAAGTTAAGTAATTGCCCAGGTCACTTGAAGTGAGGAACCGAGGTGGCCTGGCTCCAGAGCCCACTGCCTGACCTCCTCCCATGTCACTGTTCAGAGTGTGCAGTTCTGCAAGTCAGTGGCGATTCGCTGATAAAATGAACCGTGACCTCCTATTTGTTTTGATGGGGGGAATCCTTCTCTCTACATGGTAAGTTCTCATCCTCTTCAATTAATGTGTGTGTCAGTTCCCAGCAGACGCTCAGAATCAATGGGTGAGTCGCGCTCCGCGCAGGACAGCAGAGGCCCATCAGACCCACTCCGCTTCCCACGGGTGCAGACTCCCTGACGGCAGCATGGGTCCTGTGACTTGCCCGGGCCTGCTGGCCAGTCTGCAAGCCAGCCAGCCTCTCACCCTTCTCAGGAGCGGTCACGACCCTGCATCCTTAGAGGAGCTGGTGGAAGTCACCTTCAACGACAGTGCTAATTAATACCCCTTATCTTTTCAGCTCCTTGATCCTCAATTATTTGGTATTAAAAGCACATTTATATTTAAAGGGGAGAGGTGGCTTTCGTGCCTGCTGCTTCCTGACCGCTCTCGCAAGAGGAGGACTGACCCCCCGGGTGCAGACCGAGGCTACCATTTCCAGGGCTCTGTCCACGGGCATTTTTGTCATTAAACTACACTTTTCCACTCACCAGTCAAAGGGCTCCCTATCAAACTGGTTTAACAGCAAATATGCTTGTGGTGGTGGGAGGGAAGGCCTCTTGGAAGAGGATAGAAGAGAATGTGTCCTAATTCTTAGCACAAGCCTAGACCAGACCAATGACTCCCTTCTTCATGCAGGACCGAGCCTGGGAGGGGCCGTAAGGATCACCAGACTGAGGCCTTCCTGGGAACAGTAGGGAAACGGTGTCCAAAGAGGGAAGCGGATGCTTCCCTGGGAACAAAGGGAAACGGCTTGGTCAAAGGACACAGCGAGCTGAATGATCAGAAGTGTTGGTGATTTATGTTCACCCTCAAGATTCACCAGCTGCCCTGCTCTCAGCCAGGGCGCTGGGCCTGCCAGACTGCATCAAGAGACACCCTGCCCCTTGGCGTGGCCGTGGAGGTCAGGACGCAGCAGGATGTGGGTGAGCTTTTGTTCCTTCCCACTCCTCCTGCAGCCTGGCCTTGACCTGACAGCATCCCTCTGTGAAGGCACAGCCTCCACGGTGGCCGGCAACATTCTCAGGTCATCTCTGCCGCTCACTCTGCTTCCTCATTTCTGTACTCAGCACATAACTTTCACCCTCTCCCATCACTTTGGATTATGTGGTTTTTTTTGTTCTCACTTCAGTATTTTCATGCACACTTCCAATTCTTCAAACATCACCTGTACTTTTATTTCTTAAGCCACATGTCACTTGCAAACATTCCCGTATTTATCCTGACCGTGAACTCCTCGGGAGCAGGCATGGCCTCGCATTGCAGGGCTGGGACTGTGTCTGTCTTGTTCTCAGTCACTGGCATAGCCTTGGCACCTGGTGTGGATGGGCATTTCCCTGCATGAAAGCCAGGTGCCCAGTAGGACCACAAGATATGTCTGCCAGGTAAGAGAGCTGTTCACTCAATGCCGTCAGCCCAATGAATGGAGAGATGTTCAGATGTACCTGTAGTTGTGTGATTCTGAGGAAATTCTGCAGCTTTCTTAGCTTTATAGAAAGATATGTGATATGCAATTCTGTGTTTTCCTCTTTAAGGTGCTGAGAAAATTTACACCGAAATTGTGAATGGAATGCGTGGAGTTTCTTGGATGGGAATTATATATTTTTGAGAAAGGTAGAATCTGGTAAGAATGCTATGTTGGAGGAGGGAAATGCCATTTTGAAATCCTTTATTTATTTATTTATTTTGGCTTAAAACAACATGCAAGAGTCTTTATTATCTGAAAGAGAGAGTGGCTGTCCCAGAGGGAGTGCGGGGAGAGAGAGAGGCAGGGTGGGGGAGAGGGAGAGAGAGAGAGAGAGAGGGAGAGAGAGAGCAAGGGGACAGAGAGACAGAGACAAAGAGAGAGAGAGCCTGAAATCCTTTATTTTTACAGGAAAGTAGAATGGAGACTGTGAGGGGCTGAGAAATTATTGCATAACAGGCACAGAGTTTCAGCTTTTCAAGATGAAGAGTCCTGTGGGTGGATGGTGGTGCTGGTAGCTCTGCAGTGTGAATGTAGGAAATGGACACTTAGAAATTGTTAAGCTGGAAAATGCTGTTATGTGCATTCAATTAAAATAAAATATCTTGACATATCAAATTAGATTAAAAAAAGGATGTAGGAATTTGAATAAAATAACCAATACACTTATTAACTAGCCATATGGAAAACTCTTTGTATGAAAAACAGTATTATGTCCATACTTTCTCAAAGTCCCTGGTACGCTTAACAAATTTGATCATATGGGAAACCACAAACTTCAATAAACTCCACTAAATGTAAATTATTCAGGCTACATTCCTTCACTGCCATGTACAATCACTAGGAACTAATAATTCATGAGATGATGTGTTTCGTCTCTCAAACTGGCAAACGCAAAACAATAGAACACCCACCCTGGGGCCCTAAAGGCATGTCAAACGCCCCTCTGGTCATCGCACAGGATGGGACTGAGCCCTGGCAGGTCAGCCGTTGAATGTCTGCATTACCTAAGAGAAGATGGTGAGGACTTACGCTCGGTGCTCAGGTGGCGACTGGGGTGGTGAGGATGACAGAGGAGGTCAGCAGAGGGGGCGGTGAGGGGAGCACGCCCTTGGATGCACTGTGAAGACAGGCAGGAAAATGGTTAAAGAGGGGAGAGGGCAAACTGCAGGCAGGGGGAATGGCGTACGTGGGGACGGACGCAGGAGGGCAGAAGCAGAGGGGAGAAGTCCATTCCCACGGGTGTGGTGTGGCGGTGCCCTCGAGCTCTCCCTGACCAGTATGGACAGCAGGCCATATAAGCTCTTAAAGGAATAAAAGTCAATTTCTTTTTCACTTTGTCATTTCAGAGGGTTTGCATCACTTCCTCTTGGGAGGCTCTGGGTTGTTTTAAGTAGAATGCAGCTACAAGGATAGGTTGTTTTGGTCCCATTTCCCCCAGTGTATCCCAGTGTCTGATTCTGTCCTATCTCTCAGATTCTCCCAGTGAACTCTGCACAAAGGGCAGTTGATAAATGTGGCCAATTTCACTTTACTCCAAATGAGTCGAAAGAGGAACAGTTCAATGTCTTCTTGCTTTGAAGAGCATGAAGTGCTACTGTACAAAGGCAGGGCACCCATTTGTCACCATTGCCGTAAGCAGAGTGTCCACCAGATATCCCTAAGGTCTTTTCTCCAAGAGCCTTGTTGAACCACCTCAAAGGGAACCATTACTTCTGGCTGGAGCCTCTGCTGTTAGTTCTTCAAAATCAGAATGATGTCCCTGAAAATCCTAGTTTTCTTTGGAGTAGTCAAAAAGGATATGACAATACCTTAATAAATCAAAGGGTTTCTACCTGGTTCTGACTACTTTCTACTAACCCCCTTTGTGGGGGAAAGGTACACACCCTCTCCCACAGAGGGAATTATAAGGGCACATGCAAATCCCCCACACTTCAGAGGAAAACCAAACTCTCAGAAATGTTCTTGCATAAAACAGGTTCTACTTTGCAATAGTGCCAACATCATAGATTTTTAATCCAGGTGGAAAATAATTCAAGGACAAGATGTGAGCATGGAAACCACGGACGTGCACCCCAGACCATTTGGCCAGCCTGTCTGCCAGTTCTGCTCCCTGCGTTCTCTCTGGTCACCTTATTTCCCTCCTGAGGCAGGATTCCTCCTGTTATCTGTACCTGCCTCCCAACCGGATCCTCACCTTAGAAGTGGTGCTGATACCAGGTGCTGACCCCTCTTCTACGTGAGCCTGTCCCCTGCTCATAGCTGATTCAGGACTGGGTGGATGCCTGACCCAACCTGGCTGACGGGAGTTTCTGGCTTGAGGACTTGAAGTGTGGCCCAGATAGACAGGGCCTGAAAGTTGTTGGGGCTGAGCGTGGCTGGTAGAATCTTTAAGTCCCTTCCCACCAACTGTAACATGACGAGATGATGAGATATCATTCCCCTGATCACCATGTCGTGTGGCAGAGCTGACCCCAAGGGAAGGAGCTTATGTGGCAGACCTTGATCTCATCATTCCGTCTCTTAGCAGTGGCAGAAGACAGAGAGATCTGAAGCATGGGTGGACTTCAGCGCCCAGGGAATGTCTTGAAGCTGGAAGGGGCCGTGTGTAGAGAAACTACAGTGGCCTTGCCGAGGTGGCAGAGGCCCCCTGCTTGCAGCCAGCCAGGAAGAGGCGAGCTCAGTGTGTAATCTCAGGGAAGTGGATCCAGCCAGCAACCTCCCTGATGGTGAGAGGGCTCCCCCTCAGAGCGTCCTGGTAAGAGCCCGGCAGGGCCGACATGGTGGCTTTGGCCTTGAGAGAGCCTGAGCAGAGAGAGCCCAGTGGAGCCATGCCAGTTTTCTGACCTAGAACTGTGAGCTAAGACGGTTGTGTTGCTTTAAGCCCCTACATTTGCAGTAATTTGTTATAGCAGCAACGGGAAACGGATGCATGGGGCAGCAGCGACATGCTGGGAGAGGCTGGTGACCTCCTGCTGGCCAGGGCCTCAGCTCCTCCTTTTCTTTCCTTCCTTCACATTCTTTGCATGGTCCCATGACCTCTGTAAGTATGCTGCAATAAAGTCCCTCTTTATGGGTTACAAAGTCAGTAGATTTGGTTTTCTGTTGCTTATAACACAAGGAGGCAGAGACTTGGGTGTAAATTTGGTATCGGGTGATGTGGCTTTGTGCAGATTTATGGGAGATTAAGTGAACTTCAGGAAATCTCAGAACCTTAGATGGGTTGAAGGTTATTGAAAAAAATCTATTTTTTAAAATGTTTGATTGCATTTTGAAGACATGAGTTGGAAGTGATGGCAATGTTAGCTGGGTCTGCAGATATGCCTGCCCACATAAGCCCAAACCACATTGTTCGTTATTAGAAATGCTCTGCAAGGCCTGCCCATTTGGGTAGGGCATATGCTCTGAAGCTCCCGGGAAGCCTGAAGATCAGTTTTCACCAGGTAGGAAGCCAGGTGAAGCCGCTTTAGGAACTGGTGAGGCCAGAGGCCCGGAGAGTCATCCCACCGCCCCCCAGTCCCAGAAGTGGAGCACAGATCCCAGCAGGGACCATGCCGGCCTGGCCTCTGGCCAGGCAGAGTGAGGGGGCAGAGGGACAGCTATGTCCAGGTGCAGACAGCTGGCTGGGCAGATGAGAAGGGGCCGGCTGACACAGAGGAAGAGGCGGGGTGGGCCATGGGGTGTCCAGAGCCTGGGAACACCCCTATGCCTGGACTCCCAGTCGCCTCTGTCATGGAGGGTCAGTCAGAGGGGAGGTGGGCCTGGGGAGGGAGCTCCCTAGTCACTCTGCACCGAAGGGTGGGGCTGGGAGTGCAACAGGAGAAAGGAAGGGAGAAGTAGGGGACAGATGCACCCCTTTAAAATTTTCCCTGAGTGGGGACAGTCCCTTTTGCCATATGCCTCTTGGAGAGGAGCGGACTGAGCTCCCCAGGTTTCTTTTCAGATATTTCTATACATGCCACCAAGCATTAGAATTTGTTTACCTTCTAAACGATCCTTGGTGCAGAAAGCATGACTGAGTTAGTTACAGATAATGAAACGTAGTCCTTTTTGGGTGGGGTCAGTGGAAAAAGGAAGAGATAAGGCCAAGGACAGGGAGGAGGGGCTGTGAGGCTGTGGTTAAGCAGGAACAGAGAGTAACTGGGTCTTGGCCATTCTTCTAAAAGGAAGAGAACTCTAAGATTTTTGGAAGGCTCTCCTTTGGCACAAGGACGGAAACCTGGATGGCTTACAGAAAGCTGACCAGGTGTCCTGCACCCATCTGGCAGGGGCTCAGCCCGGGAGCAGGGTGAGAGCCCGGCTGGTACCAGACAAGCCTCATGCAGACCAGGTGGATTTGGAGAGAAACCCAGCAAACCGATCCTGCTTGTCTGTTTTTCTACACTTGAGTTTTGATTTTTCTTTCCCTTCTCACCAGATTCTTTAGAGCTTAGTATGTTAATTTATAGTGTTTCTTCACAGTGGGAAAGAAGTAATAAATTGGCTGGCTTCCTAGCTGAGAGTCAATCTTGGTATTCCATTCACAGGAAAACCTCTTATCTCCCCTAGTCTTTTCCCAAGAGAGCCTATAGATTAGGCATTTTGCCATTTTTCAGATCTTTACCCAGGCTGAAACTAACTAGAGAGCCATCATTTAAGGTAAAGAACAGGTTGTCCAATGGGGCTGTCTGATAAACCAGGGGAATGAGATATTTGGGATTTTTTTCCTTCTGTTCATCTGCTTAGCAGTGTTTCAGCAGCTCGCCTGCTCTGACGCCAGTTCTTCTGGGTGTGAAATGGGGACCCTAACTGACCTGGGAAAGCCCACAGGTCCAGGGGAGGGTCACCGCACGGGCACGGCCCATCCAAGCTGTGTGCCATACCGCACGGCCCCGCGCCCCCAGCCTGCCTGGGCCCCCAGCCTGCCTGCGCGGTTAGCCGCCCGGAAGGAGGCGCCTACTGCTGATGCCCGGCGGGCGTCCCTCGCGCTGCGGAGCCCCTGGCCCTCCAGCAGCCTCCCCTCTGCTGGCCGCAGCCTTCCGTTAGCCACTCCCAGGCTCGGTGGGTCTTCTGCCGCCAGAGAAAACTCAGCTTCCTCCGGTGCCCTCCGCGGGAGTCCCCCGGGGTTCCCCTGACCCTGGAGCCGGCGTCCGTGAGCCCCGGGCTCTGCCCGCAGCAGGGTCCTCGCTCCCTCCGCACTCAGTTAGTTGAGAACCACGGCGGCTTGTATTCAGGGAGGGACGCTCTCCTGAGATCAAAGAATGGGGGTCATAAAATCTGTATTTTGGTACATCGTAGTTGACAGAGATTTCCAGTTCCAAGGAAACCAACTGTGAGATGGCTTCACAGATGGGGAAGTGGAGGTCAGGCGTGGGCCCTCCCTGCTCGGTCTTGCTGAAGGAGGGGGCGGAGGCAGGCAGGTGGGAGATTTTATAGCCCCTGCTGCACACCCAGGGGGCCCTGCCGCACCTCGCCTCCCTCCTCTGCCTGGGCTGCGCTGCCTGGGGGCCTGTGGCCGGAGCCGGCGCGAGGGGGATGCCGGAGCTGTTGTGGTGCCGGGACGGTGGGTGGACAGCGGGGTGGGGAGGAGGAAAGGATGGCCCCCAGCATCAGCACCCTGCCTGACCAGCCGCAGGCACTCAGGACACGGGTACCGAGCTATGTGGCTCAGAGCCAGCAGGGCCGCCCTGACTCTTCCTCACTGAGTCTAAGGTTCCCAGGCCATGAAGGGGGTGTTTCTTGCCTCGCTGCCCTGTGCAGTGGCTGTGAAGCAGATGCGAGCGGGCCTGGACCGAACGGCACACACACATGTATGGTGGTTCTCTGATACGGCCCCTGATGGGGGAAGGCAGTGGCCTCATAGCTACGGACAGCTGGTGAGCCCTGTCCTGCAGTCCTGGTCTCTTGGACATAAGTCTTGTCTCTGGGTCCCCACACTCTCTGGTTGTCCTCTCATGGCTCCACAACAGCTGATGATACACAGCTGACGGTTGGGCGAGAATCACGTGAAAATCGTATTCTTCCCAAGCTGCCTGCTTTGGTCTTTCTGCGTTACCGGTTTCAAGCTTTCTGTCCTTGTCACATTTTCTCTGCTTTAGGTGTATGTTTAGAAGGCCATAACATTATTCTTTATTGAATTAAATTTGTCCTTACTTAGGACCTTTTCTTATGGAATTTAATTTACAAATTAATACTTGCAATCTGATCAAAAGAGTGCTTGGCCCACAGCAAGTGCTACATAGGAATTAGCTTCCACTAACCATTATTGGTTGCTTACCTGCTTATATGTCTCCTCCACAGAAAGACCTTCGCTGGTTACCCTCTCTTAGAAGAACATCATCCATCAATCTCTCTGCATCGCCCCGTTTTCTTTTTCTTAACAGTATCCATCATTATACATACTCTCCACTCCTCTGCTAGAATGCAAGCTACATGAGCTCAGAACATTTATTTCCTGGACAACCATGCAAAATTTTCTTTTTCAATTAATCAGCACTGTTTTCCGAGGCAAGTGTGTCCTGGCTTGTGAGAGCCAGTTGTGTGCGTCTCTTGCCAATTCTGTGTTCAGTGATGTTGAGACAGGGACCGTGGTGCAGTCAGAGTAGGGTGGGGGCCTCTGGAAAAAGACCCTTACCAAAACTCCATATTAAACAATTAAACAAAAACAGAGTCACATGAATTCTCTAAAATAAAATATCAAACTAAGAATATAAGCATTCTTCAGTGAAGATTAGTTAAAACTAAAAAGCCAGGAATAACCCGGCCTGGAATGTTTGAACATCCCCCAGATAAGATAATACCTCAGCATGGCCCACGTCTTGTTTGTGTCAATTAAATTAGGCTATTGTAAAATTTACTTCAGCTGCTAAAATGCCACGTTTATCTTTAACTTTACCCAGAGGCTGCTTTTCCTCCTCCAGCCCTAATCAAGTCAGTAACTCAGCTCACCTGGAAAACAAGACAAGCAGCCCTGACTGATATGCTCCCAAAACAAGGAACTGCTACTCTGAGAAAGGATCAAAGCAGTAAATTTCTTATGGTAACTCTGCAAAATAGTCCAGAAAACTGATAGGAAACTTAGTGTCTCTTCAAAGATAAACATTTAGAGACCATCTGGTGGGTTTGCATCCCCAGCCTTTTGTCTCTCAACCGCCTATAAAACCCCTAGACAGCCGCACCGCCCTGGGCTCTCCCGTCCCCTCCTGGCGTGAGCCAGGAGCTCCGTCTGTCCTCTCAATGTATCTCTCGGTAAAAGTCTCCCTGGCTCTCCTACCTGACTGTTTGCTAAGTTCATTCTTTGACTCCACAAACAAGAACCCCGGCATCAACGTCACATTGGTAGCCTGAAGCCAGCCGTGGTGGGAGTGTTCACACCGTGGACATCCGCAAATACAGCAAAGCAGTCTCTCCCCTCCCCACCCCCAAGTTGTTAGACATTTACCAGCACTGCTTCTGAAGGACCAAGTCAAGTGCAAGCCAGTCACTCAGCCCAAAGGACTGGTGCAGCAGAGTAAAGGTGACCACAATTCCTAGGCACTATCCCTTGCAAATGGTAGAATCTGCTTATCCAGCCCCTGGAATCTATAGATTACAGTGCCAGTTCAGGCTTACCCTTTAAGAGGACTAGCAACTTCTATCTCATTCTTCTGGAACTCACCTTGCTGTGAGGAAGTCCAAAAAGCTTCAGGGAGAAGCCCACTCAAGGAGAACAGTGGTCACCGGCTGATAATCTCAGTTGGACCGCACACCAGCTGCCAAGCCTGTGAGTGAAGCCATCTTGCGGGCAGACACCTCCAGCCCCAGGCAAGTCCCCACCAGATGCGGGGGGGGTTGGAGATGAGCCTCTGTGCCATGAACTCGGGCACGGAGCCAGGTGGAAGGACATGAGGTGGCAGTTGGAGAGCAGAGCCTTTACACTGAGACGTGAGACGCGGCGCCATCGCTGGAGCTGTGATGGGAGTTGGGATCTAGGGCCGGGAGTGTGGCCGCAGCAGTGCGTGGCTAAGACAGGGTGGGAGAGGAGGTCTTTGGAATGAGGAGCTCAAAAAACGGCAAAGCCAGGGT